TATATATATATATATATATATATATATGTGTGTGTATATATATATATATATATATATATATATATGTGTGTGTATATATATATATATATATATATATATATATGTGTGTGTGTATATATATATATATATATATATATGTATGTGTGTGTGTGTGTGTATGAAATATTAAAATGATAGTGAAGAATCTCAAAATCCAAAACTAAAAAGAGTGAGCCGTGTCTTCCTAGACAACATAAAAGGCTTAATAGAAAATAATAGGAGACAAAATTTTGCCTGGAACTTAATGATATAAAGAAGGCTGTGATTTGGCAGCTCACTGGGTTTTGAGACACAGCCTTAATGACAGTGTTTGTATTTTTTGTACTGAGGACTTGTTTTTGTTATACAGACAGAGCCACTAAAATTGGTCAGCTGATCAGTTCGTATCTGGAGAAGAAAAGCAATCTGGAGGATCATACTGTTCACCTGCTGTTTTCTGCAAACCGATGGGAAATGGTGTAAGTTATCATTCAAGAGTTTATTTCACATTAATCCAGTAAAGTGCATGAATAGGAATGGCTCATTCATTTATTATTCATTAAGTGGATCAACCAATCAGTCTGTTTTCTTTCTTCAGGCCTCTGATGAAACAGAAGTTGGAACAAGGGATCAATCTAGTGGTGGACCGTTATGCGTTTTCAGGAGTGGCCTTCACTAGTGCCAAACCTGTGAGTGTTACGGTTACTCCAGTACAGGGAAAAATATGGTATTCATTTATAAAGGATCATAAAGACTTTGGTTAATATTATAAATGAACAAGATAAATATTATTTTGTACTAAATGCCGTTATTTTGAACTTAATATTCATCAGAAATCAGGGGGAGGGGAAAAAAGTTTTTTTTTTCTATGTAGAGACATTAATTTAGTTGTTTTCTATGTAAATGTTCAGGGCTTCTCTCTGGAGTGGTGCATGAATCCAGATATGGGACTTCCAAAACCAGACCTGGTGATATTTTTGCAGCTCAATCCCAGTATGGCAGCAAACCGTGGAGAATATGGAATTGAACGGTATGAGACGAGCGCTTTCCAACGCACAGTTCAGCAAAGATTTGAAGAGCTCATGCAAGATTCCTCAGTCAACTGGAAGGTGATTTATAATTTTTTAAAAACCTAATTATTGTAAATTTACAGTATGCAGACCTGCCAACCTGTACGCATTTTGACCTTAAAGTACACTGGTACGATTTGTCACTCTAAACTACGCAAAAACCCAGTGACCTGTCCATGCGCAGTAAACAAGCAACAGAAAAAGATGAGGAGTTCAACCAATCAGAGCGTTTTCCGTGTTTTTTTAAATTTCTCTCCAAATTGGCCGTTTGTGTGTCCGTGAGTCAGGCGCTGAGATGAGGAAACAAGTGTATGGTATTTCCAAGCTCTATTTCTTCGGTGATGCATATGTGGACTTCCTGCGCAGGTGCACCCTCTAGTATCCAGTATGAATGAAACAGACCTTACATGTGTTCATAGCACTAAATAATGGCCAATCTACAGAAAAAGATGAGGAGTTCAACCAATCAGAGCGTTTTCCGTGTTTTTTTTAATTTCTCTCCAAATTGGCTGTTTGTGTGTCCGTGAGTCAGGCGCTGAGATGAGGAAACAAGTGTATGGTATTTCCAAGCTCTATTTCTTCGGTGATGCTTATGTGGACTTCCTGCGCAGGTGCACCCTCTAGTATCCAGTATGAATGAAACAGACCTTACATGTGTTCATAGCACTAAATAATGGCCAATCTATAGAAATAATACTTCTCTCAAAATAAATTTAAGGTAGACATGTGATAATCCATGTTTTTCTACAGTGTACAACAATGTACTGGAGTTTTTGTTTTTAATAGCATTTAAAATCGCTAAAAAGGACTCTTGTGCCAAATCATCAGAACCAAACTGAAAAACTCAAAGAAAAATTCAAAGGTTGCCAGGTCCGAGTATGTAACTACCTTCAAATTAGTTTAATCTCTATCTTTTGGCTTTCTTTCTCTAGGTAATTGATGCTGCGAGGACCATAGAAGAGGTGCACAAAGATATTAAGCTTTTGAGTGAAGACATCATCAGTTTAGCCGAGAATCAGCCAGTTGGAGAGCTGTGGAGGTGAATGGATCACCGGCTTTTACGTTATTTTTTATATAGCGGTATACAGAAAATACAGTTATTGTATTTTAATTTTTTTTAATGATTTGATAAATAAATATTCATAAAATAAACTTGTGTACAGAGATTTGAAACATCAAGACAAAATCGTTCTTGTATAATTACACAAGCCATCCTACCCAATCTGCAAATGCCTAACCTTGGAAATGGTAACCTTCATTGTCATTTACAATTTCATACAGGTCCATAATTTCACCGACTTTCATTGGTTAAGAGAAAATGCTAAATCAAATCTGATTAGCATGTCTCCTGACCAAAACCATAAAATGAGTTATGGCAAACCAGTGTTTTAAGTTAAGGGGGGTAAAAAAGGCACCATATCACTTAAAAATTAATCTGTAGTGTTAAGACTCAATATGGATGCACATAAATGCAACTAAGTACATACATAATGATGATCCTGAGTGCATGTGACCATGACACCTGACCTCGGCTCACTCAGGGTGACACAGAGCAGTCAGCATAACCATTTAAGAAGAAAGCTGTGTGTTTGACGCAGGTGACTATGCCACAGTGGCTTTGGACGTCAATGGTATTCTTCTCGTTCCTCTGAGGAGGCTCTACCACAGAATTTTGAAAGTCTGGCAAATGCAACTGTTCTTCACAAAGACAGGATTTCAAATTCTTCATCCTCCGAATCAAAGAAGCGTTCGAGCCGGTCTGAATCCGAAAAGTCTGTTGAGGAAAAATTGATTGAATAATGGTGGAATGATGACCATTATGCAATAATGGTGTGTATTTATAAATGTATCTCTTTACGGGGTCTTTTATAATTCTGAATCTATGAAAAAGCAGTATAAGAGATTACCTGGAGTGAGATTAAGTACATCTGCGGTAATTAAATGAGATGGCTGACTGTCTACCAATTCAAACATAGGAAGACCTCTACAGTTTGAAACCTGAACAAGGGAAAAACAAAAGCGAAGAGTGAACCAGAGGTACAAATATAAACTGAGGATACAAATTTTTTTACGTAATTTATGGCTTAGGTACCTTACGAATCTGTGCACACCAGTCATCAAAATCATCCTCTGTTTGACAGAAGAAGCCCTGATGGACAAAATTGGGCATAATTGATACTGTTCCTCAAAGGCAGTTACTTTTGACTGTTTTTAACAATTGTATTGAACAACTAAATCCCAAATTTTTCCAAGACAAGTGAGCACACGTTTTACACTTTTAATCAGACAACTGTGGGGACAATGGAATGATTATCCAAGAATAAATATATAATTTTCTTTATGTAACAATACTATAAAATGTATAGCTATATAACGTGAATCAGTTAGTTACTGTAAAGGGGGCTCTGTGTTTTCCAACCGATGTGACCATGCACATTATTACATGTATTGTGATCATGATTTACTAGATGAGCCAGCGTGATCTTAATAATGCGTACTATATGCACATGCACTACCGTTCAAAGGTTTGGGGTCGGTATGATTTTTAAAATATTTTTGAAAGAAGTAGTCTCTTCTGCTCACCAAGGCTGCATTTCTTTGATCTAAAACAGTAATAGTATTAAATATGATTACAATTTAAAATAACAAAATTGTATTTTAAAGTGTAATTTATTCCAGTAAAAGCAAAACTGAATTTTCTGCAGCCATTACTCCAGTCTTCAGCGCCTTCAGAAATAATTTTAATATGATGACTTGGTACTCAAGAAACATATCTTATTATCGTCACAGTTGTGCTGCTAAATATTTTTGTGGATACCATGATACATTTTTCTTGATTCTTTGATAATTAGAAAGTACAAAAGAACACAATTTATGTGAATTTGATTTTTTTTTTGAAACTCACATTTGATCAATTGAATGCATTCTTGCTGAATAAGGTTGTTTTTTTTTCCCCTAATCAAATTTTTATAATGGTACTGTCATTTTTATGACACAGACATCATCTTTTAGGGTAATTAAACAGCTCTGGTCATGTGACAATGTTTTATTTATATTCACTTAAAAATCAAGAAATCTGTTATTTCATTTATTACTGACAATTATGTGTAAAATACATAATCTTTTAAGACCATTCAAACTGAAAAATACATTTTGGTCACAATGTTAAATGTTGTATGAGATTAAAAAGTGTTAATCAGTTGAGTAATACTGGGTAGATGTAAATGATACTGAAATGAATCATTTGTGTCTTCTACACAAGGCCTGAGTTATACACTTCCAAATACAGGATTCAAAGGAAAAAAGAACACAAAAGCGCCTATTTTTTATGTTTTCTTGTGTTTATTTTGATATTTTGAACACATACAATATTTATTACATTTGGTTTTATTTTCTAAAAGGGTTTCCTTTAAAAATGACACCAATATTTAACATTTACTTAACTGTATGTGGGTAAGGGCAGCCATCAGATTTAGATATGTCAACAAAAACCCAAAGAGTTTAAAGAGTTAAGCTCTACTTACAGCAGCAATGGAGGGGTCAAGCTCACAGATGTGCATTCGGCAGGGAGGGTGCTGGCAGTGGTAGGAGTCATCTGGGAACTGTTCGTCTTCATTTGGGTCCACTGCTGGCTGAGTGGTATGAGGGTCTAGATAAATGAGCTCATCACCTGCAGGGTGTGGTCAATAAGAAATCAATCAATAAGAAAAGATAATGAAGCCGTTTAAAACACAATATACTGCCATATAGCATTTAGCATTTATATAATCTGTACTAAACCACAGATAAACCATCTAACTACTACAGTATAACAGCAGTGGTTCAAATAAACAAAGATGAGTTTGTATTACTTTAATAACAATAGTATATGAAAAAAATTATTCAACGCACAAAGCACATTGTGATTGACAAACAGTGTGTAAATGAATGTAATCTGTGTTGTACAGCCTTTCATCATGCAATATTTTTGTTTATGCTTTTAATAATAAGGACATGTACATGTTGGCATCTACCTAATTCAACTAGCTTCTACCAAGTAAACCGACAAATGTGTGACAAAATACCATAGATGTTGATTGGGCACACAATATTTTGTTTTACTTTGCCATCTGAACTATGCATGTCATCTAAGAAGAGACAGGTAAACCATTTTGGGTTGTGATTTGCCAATTGAAAACGGACTTTTTTTAGGTTTAGCTTGAAAAACTCTGCTTACCTACAAAGCCAATGAAGTAGTGAGCACTGTTCGGCTTCCCACCTATTACTCCTAAAGACTGAGGCATCATGAAGCATTGCTGTAGATAAGACATGAGGATAAAGTCCAGCACTCTGCAAACTTGAATAGGTGATCATTAAAGTGACAATAGATGAAGAATCAGTATCTTACGCCGACTTATTAGAGTGTTTTTATCTATTCATAAGACAGATAATGTTATAGATTTACCTTGAGTGGTTCAATATAGGCTTCGTTGATGTCACTGAGGCCCAGTCTTAGTGGAATCAGCAGAACAAGGGGTTTCCACAGAGCCGTCTCCTCTTCTGCCAGAGCACAAGCCCCCTCAAGATCGCCATTCATTTCCCGAGGCTCTTCAGAAACTGCACATGCACCCCTGTCGAAGTCCAGCCATGGCATACACAACCTCTCTACAGACAGACAAGAAGAAGAAAAAGAAACATTAAGTCATTTACTCTTACAGCGTTGAAAGAAAAAAAAATATCCTATAGTAATTCTAAGTTTTTTAAGACACTTTTGCCCAGTTAGCAGCAATGCATGTTTACAAGTGCAACTATAATTGAGACAATGACACAATGTGTAATCGAATATTTGAAGGATTAAATACATGTCACCCTTGTCTTTTGAAACAAGCAATGTCAAGCTGAGCTACTATTACATTATCTACATCTGACTTTGCAAAAACCAAACTGGCATGATTTCAGTTGGATTAAAGTGTTTAAAAATTATTAAGTTATGATTGTTTTGTTCCTATTGAAAAGAACTCTTAGAGTAGATGCCACTGATAATGAAATCCATGGGGGCAATAATCTTTGAGCTGTTGCATAAAGACGATTTTTGGAAGGTTTACAAATAAAGCTTTATATAAAAAAAGAAGAAGGAAAAAAAAAAAGCTAAATGTCACTTGAGGAAGCTACAAAGACATAAAAGACCTCGTGCTTTTCTACCTCAAACTCAACTATGCAATTTGATGAGCTTTTTAGCAGCAGGCACTGGCAATCTCCTTAGGGTTGATGAATGCTTCATAACACCTGGAGATTTTGGATAAAAACTTACTCCCTTTTGCCAGAAACTATAAACTGAGGATATTTCAGTAGGACAACAACCCAAAGCACACTGCCAGAGTAAAACTGAAGTGGCTTAAAATAAAGAAATTGATGCCCTTGAGTAGCTTAGTCAGAGTCTTTACCTCAATCTCATCGTACATCTGAAAGAATTAACTGCTTCACTTTTAGTGGTTTTGCAAGAAGGAATGTGCTAATAATGTTCCATCACATTGTGCCAAATTTTTTAAAATGACCTAAGGCTGAGTTGTCATATCTCTGAATGTGGTTCAACCAAGTACTAAAGAAAGGGGATACATACTTATATATACTGATTAATTAACATTTTAAAATTAACTTTTTCATTTCTGCGATATACTAAAGAAGACATTTTGAGGAATGTTGAATTTACTTCCATATTATGAACAAGAAAAGGAGACATGTATCAAAATATCTTCCTTTATGTTCCATGAAACAAAGAAAGTCATACAGGTTTGGAATGACATGAGGGTGAGTAAATAATGACGGATTTATTTTATTTTTTTATTTTTTTATTGTACTATCCCTTTAAATATACTGGCTAATTTCATCATGCTTTTGCCTACTAATAAGAGTAAAGTATATTCAGCTCAAATCCATTCCTAAAATTCCTACAAATTCCTAAATCTAAATTGGTGCAGAAAAAGCAAAGCTTTGCAAATGTCTGCAGATTCCATTTAGGCCTACTTAAGAGACACTAAGAAAGAGAACTCACTGATTTCCTCTATGACCACAGTATTGTCCATAGCTACATGAACTGCCAGTCGGCTCCAGGAGTCAAAAACTGCTAGTTTCCTATAGATGGGCACAAAGTTTAGATGATTTTATGGAAAGACAGTAAAGCAAAAGTAGTTTATTTCAGGATTCCTGAGCTTTAATAACATTTTCCAGTTATAATGTTACTAAAAAACTCACAAAAAAACAAAAGGATGATTATTTGAATAATAATTAATATTTCATTTGACTTAGCCAACTTACTTGAGTACCTGTGCCACTGTATTTGGACCATACCACTGGCCTATAGACTTGCCCTCACCAACACCCATTTGAGCTGAAGAAAACAAGCAATGTCAATACAGTCACTTACCCATCAAAAGAGTAACTTTAACACTATTCAGGCAGCAGGTAGATGAGGAGTAGTACCTATTTGATGGATGGAATAATAGCTGTCCTTCTTGTCAATGAAGGCATTGAGAATGTTGATATATTCTGCTCTCTGCCGCTGACCTGGACTCCATCTCCAGTCTAATAAATAAATACAACCATCTCAGACAACAGCAGACGCCATAATCACCAACCACGTAACACAGGTAGACTTACCTCTACCTAAGTGCCTGCAGATCAAGGCCTGCCCAAGAATCATCTGTCCACATCGAAGCATGCAGCCCCAGCCGGTGTCTGAAGTGGGACCAGTGCCACCTGCAACATCACATCCGTTAACAAACCATCTGTAAAACTAAACAGACTATCCTGATATGCATTCCTTGGACAGTACGATCAGGATTGAGGACTCCGTGACTCTCACCAATTGGCTGGAAGTTCTTTCTGTACGTGAACCACAAACGTGAGGTGACGTCTGCCAGAATCTCATCCTTCTCTGGGACACAAAGAACATCATGAAACAAGAGCTAAACACAACAGCACAAAACCTTCAATGTCTCCCACTTCATTACCTGTTAGAGCGCTGAACTGCTGTCCCAAAATCCAGACAGGCTCGGAGGTCTCTGGGAAATCTTCGATCTCTCCAAAGCGCAATGAGTCGTACGTGAGAGTAGCTGTTGAAAGAAAAGCCAATGATGACCAACTGGAAGTTCAATAACTTACAGACCAACAGAAACATTAAAAAGAGCGTTTGATCAGGTAAAAACAAAGACATCGGTTTAGACATCTTTTTCGTTTGAGTTTTTTTAAGTAGGCTCAGCCATCTATCTATCATTATCTAAACTTTTTACTTATAATCATTCCAGTATTATTTTCAATTAAAGATATAGTTTCATGAACAAACATACAACAAATAAAGCATTTATTCATCTAATTTCTGTTTTTACATATGCATTTCAAATATTTCAAGATTTAAGCTAATTCTTTATTATGAACAAATACGAATTAATAGTGACTAATACTATATCCATAAATTAAACTTAACCTGGATTAATAGTCATTTATAAATGATTGTTGATACCTAAACCATTAACTAATATCAACAAACTGAACGTTATTTTCCACCAATTGTACTGCCTTTATACCGCGGTGTATGTGTAACTTCACGATGTCCCAAAAGTTACACTCTTTTTAAAACGGCCACAAAATTGTTATTTCTAATAGAAGTCATGCACCAAAGTGTTAAAGACATGGCACAGTGTGTAAAAGTCCCTAACCTATATGCTATTGGCAAACGGATTATCAGAGTACGCAGAATTTGATAACAAACGACAACCTCGCTAAAGCGTTTACGTTACAGCTGAACGGTATCATTCGTGCGCCGGAACGCTCCTGTGATGTCCAAGAAATGCTCAAGGTAGGAAGCTGACTAGAGTCTAAAGCACAGCCGATAAAGCCTAACAGTTTTCCCGGGTGGCCGTAGCATTTTGGTGCCGTGACATCTAAAAGACAAAACTGTGTCCATCCGTCACCTGACAGCAGACTGTTCTGTGTTACTGTCCGGATAGCAGTTGGGACATTCTATGTACCATATTTAACGACAAATTCCCAAACTGTAGAGACCGCCTCTCCAATAACAGGCGCGTGCTTGGTTGACGATAGAAGAATTGTGCTTTTTAACAATTTCATGACAGCTGGACAGATGTCCGAAATGTAAAGGAATTGTTTCCCTGCGGTTTTCTTACCTGCATCCATCCCGACAGTGATTCAGCCTATCTTGTTTGTTGAGGTGTTCCTTACGCTGCACTGACCAATAGGAAATCACTTCCTCCTTGGTCAGCATGCGTCATTACTGTGATAGCTAATCAGATCACGTTAATGAATTTGGTGGTCTTTTTGACCTATAGAATTTCTCCAAAGGCGGGACATTCTCTGGGAAGCGGATGTAAACAAGCTAAGAGTATATAGGGCAATCCCACATTAACACAGAGAGGAATGTAGCGCTACGTAAATGTGCATATGCATATTGTACATAACTTACATAAACGCATTACTGGTTAGAAATGTTTCGTGTCCAAGATATTTACCATCAAACGCCGGGAACGGCGTAAACAGCTTTGATAGTGTATGCTCTGTGTAAATATGCTATTTCTGACATGTTCGCACATGTAGTTCTGTTGTTGTGTAAAAACTACAGGTATAGTCAATTAACTACTAATACATGCAATTTGAAAATCTCAATCCTGGGCCGTGCTCTAGACTTTAACTAAACAGTCCACCTGGTTTATCACTGATTATTTAAATATTACACATCATCTGTGCAGCAGAGCAAGAAGCCTTCATCCCTTTGTGTGTGTGTGTGCTACTTTTCATTAAAGCTCAAAAACAATGTATTGTTATCCAAAATCACGTGTGAAATGGACAATATTGTTTTCTATACCTTCCAGTGATAAAATATGATCAGCAAGGAACACGTTTGTATTGCCAAATAAGTTTAAAGAAGACATCTCACCACAGTGTTCTTGTTGTCATTTTGAATCTGAAACTCTCACACATTTATTCTATAATTGTAATTATTCTAAAGACTTTGGGAAGCAGGTATCGATGATCATTTCTGATACATTCTACAAATGAATTAAAACAGACGAATCTATGATCCTCTTTTTGGACTGTAATACTGGCTCCAATATAGCCTTATTGATAACACATTAATACTTCTTCTTGGGACGTTTCATATACATAAATCTAAAGGAATGTTTATTAAACCCTCCCTTAGGGTTTTCTGCAAAGATCTTAAAATAGTTTTATGTCTAATCGAATTGTATGTTCTTTGAAAAATACACAGACAATAACAGATAACAATGATAAACATTTCTAAATAAGAAAGAAAGAAGTGGAATTCAATTCAAAGTCTAATGAAAACATATCACGTGATAGATATTTTTTAAATCATAAACAACATGGAGTAATACATCGCTTTATTGTAAATATCATCCTCACCACAACACCATAGCCTTTGTTTGTGTCTTGTGAGACCATTTTAAATCAATAGGGCACCTGTAGTTCCACTTAAACCCACTAGGTGTCAGTGAGTTGACGCAAATTGGAATTATTACGCAGAAAGTTGTATTATAAAGAGATGGCGAAGTTGACAATGTTACTCAATCATTTCAGACAAAATATGCTGGATCATATTCTGAAATATTTGCTCTATCATTTATCTTAATGAACACAGATTATCATAATCTTTCATTTCTGCCAATAGCTATGGATATTTTTTAAATCATAAACAACATGGAGTAATACATCGCTTTATTGTAAATATCATCCTCACCTCAACACCATAGCCTTTGTTTGTCTGTCTTGTGAGACCATTTTAAATCAATAGGGCACCTGTAGTTCCACTTAAACCCACTAGGTGTCAGTGAGTTGACGCAAATTGGAATTATTACGCAGAAAGTTGTATTATAAAGAGATGGCGAAGTTGACAATGTTACTCAATCATTTCAGACAAAATATGCTGGATCATATTCCGAAATATTTGCTCTATCATTTATCATAATGAACACAGATTATCATAATCTTTCATTTCTGCCAATAGCTATATTCTGACAACACAATGTTGTTCTAGACAGCATTGTCCATGTGCATGAACACTGTATTTCAGACACAAATACAAAGGTCACGATAGCTTCCTCTCAGCTGTGTCCGCTGTGTCTCAGCATTAGGTTCAATAAAATTGGTAACAGCAAGGAATGCCTAGAGTGCAAGAGGCCAGGTTAAACACATAACAAAGCCTTAAATATATCGGTTCATCTTGGAGCGCAAGAATATCCTTTAAAGGAAAAGTGCAAACTTTGTGCAAGTGTAAACACATCAAGAGCAGTGAAAGGCTTAAGCATTGACTAGAAACCCTTGCTGCCAGTTTTGGGAGAATCCAGCTGTTCGTCACTTGTTTGTGCTGCTCTTTATTTTTCTCTCAGCAGGTAGAAGACCACAGCCTTGAAGTAGTGACCACAGGCACAGGCAGCTGCCACCAGCCAATGAGAACGAAAACTGGGATCTGTATTGACTACACACTTTGTAATGTCCGTCTGTAAGAGAACAGAGAAAATATTAACAAATAAACAGCAACTACACAAATAAACATACTCAATAGTGGTGAAAACTAGTGCTTTTTTCGGAGTTCATCTGGCAATAACAAAAGGGAAAAGGAACTGCAGTTTGCACTCAACTATGTGCCTTTTAGGCCAAAGCCAACATGTTATATTTCAGCGGGCAGCTTTACCAGGTTAGCCAAATGTTATAAAAGTTCCAAATTAGCTTAATACACATTCAGATGATTAAAGTTCAGTGTGTTTGGATCTGGATGGGCAAACTTTTTCACTTTTTTAAGAAGCAAATTTACCCACACAAAAGAGATGATATAATATTATGCTAACCAAGGCTGCATCTATTTGATCAAAAATACAGAATTATTGTGAAATATTAATACAATTTCAAGTAATTGTTTTCAATGTGATTTAAATTTGTTGTCAGTGTTGCATGATCATTCAGAAATCATTCTAATATGCTGATTTGTGCTCACGACACATTTCTTATGATTATCAATGTTGTGCTGCTTAATATTTTTGTGAAAACCATGATACTTTTTTCAGAATTTTTGATATTTTAAATATATTTTTTGTGACATTATACATGTCTTTAATGTCACTTTTTTGTTAAGGTATCCCCCCACCCCCACAAAAAAATATTAGTTTTTCTGGCCAACAGAAGCTGATTGTACAATGATATCAGAGATAATTTTTAAAGACTCACTGTAGAAATAAATAAATAAATAAAAAAACTGTGACATTTACAGTAAAATACCGGCAGCTGTGGTTGCCAGAATGTCACCGTTAAAAATACGTCAGCAACATTTGAGGTTTTACAGACTTAACTTAAATTCACAATAAAAAAACATATTTCATTAACTGATGTAATGTTAATAAACCAGCATATTGAAGTACTAATATCTGTTTTGAACCATTGTAGTACTGATAACCACCAAAAACAGGTGGTGATGAGAAAGTCACAGGATGAATCAAAGCTCATCACAAACAGCTCTTCCACAAGCTGAGAAGGGAAATAGAAGGTGCACAGTGTCATTCACACAAACACTAAACACCATCATGGTAACTTACATGATGCTGAAATAATGCAATAAACATTAATTTAACAACATTAGATGTAAGATAAAACCCTAATGTACTCAACTGATAAGATAAAAAAAATACTAAGAAGAAACACAGATATTTCAACGAAAAAAACTAAATATGAAAGTGTCGTGCAGGGAATTCTGAGAATTGTCAATTTATGGTTTTTCACTGTAAATTATACAATGCTTTTTTCTTTTTCACTTAAAAAAAACTGTCATTTTAACAGTATTTTACTGTAAAATTACATTAAATGTAATTACAGTTATTCACCGTATATAGTATGGAAACGTACTGATAACCAATTAACAGGTTTTTACTGTAGCACTTTTAATGTGAAAGAGAAATTCAAATCAAGAGACAACTCAAGACGGAGATAATTAAGGCAAAGAGAGATGGCGACATCTCTTAATTAGGAATTTTAATGAAAAAAAAAATCTTACTCAGCTGTGTTTTTGTGTATCTGTGTGTGTGAATAGGCCCCTCAGAGTAAAACACACAGAATGGCACGTAGACACGACTGCCCACATACTCACATCAACAACAACTTTCGTTTAGTGCTCCTGATGATAAAGTCCTTGTTTTCAGGTTCAGTTCAGTCTGTGGGTGTGCCCATTTTGTACTAAAACAGCAGTTGCAAAATCAGGACACTCCCAAGAGGAAAACACCTTGAAAAATGTTGAGAATGATTTCGCCTGAAGCAACCATTAAGACTTACCCAATTATTCCAGCTTTTTTCAAGCTGTACCTCCACCAATAATTTGAAAGTTGATCCTTTAGAAGTACTGAAAGTGTTCTTTGTGTTCTCACTTCTAAATAAGTGACAGAACATTAAACTTGCTCTAGATAACGGTGTTCTAATAATATAAAATATTTATTTTATAACATTTTTCAAAATCGTGTTACGTTAAGAATTGTTTACGAATAAAAAAGTTTGAAATAATTAATGTTTTTAAAAGAGGTCTAAAAATACAAAAACGGTAAAAACGGTAATATTGTGAAATTGTATTACAATTTTTAAAAAAATGTTTTTCCTATTTTGTGTCACAGTATCACATGATCCTTTAGAAATTATTCTATATAAAATGATTTGGTGCTCAAGAAACATTTCTTATTGTTATCAGTGTTGAAAATTGTTTTTGCTGCTTAATATTTTTTGTGGAAACTGAAGAAAGAAAAAATAAATAATGGTTTTATTCAGCAAGGACGCATTAGATTGATGAAAAGTTTATAATGTTACAAAAGATTCTATTTCAAATAAATAGCCTACAGTTCTTTCTAATGTTCTAATCATCAAATGATCCTTAAAAAAATGTTAGCTTTGCCATCACAGGAATAAATAGCATTCAATTAGAAAATAGTTATTTAAATTGTAATAATATTTCACAATATTACCGTTTTTCATCTTTAAAAAAAAAATCTGAACCATTTTGTATAATATATTAATTTACCCCAGTATTTATTTGTTTGCATGTTGGGTCTCAAAAAGTTATTATCTATCTTATTGTTATCAGTGTTGAAAATTGTTTTTGCTGCTTAATATTTTTTGTGGAAACTGAAGAAAGAAAAAATAAATAATGGTTTTATTCAGCAAGGACGCATTAGATTGATGAAAAGTTTATAATGTTACAAAAGATTCTATTTCAAATAAATAGCCTACAGTTCTTTCTAATGTTCTAGTCATCAAATGATCCTTAAAAAAATGTTAGCTTTGCCATCACAGGAATAAATAGCATTCAATTAGAAAATAGTTATTTAAATTGTAATAATATTTCACAATATTACCGTTTTTCATCTTTTAAAAAAAAATCTGAACCATTTTGTATAATATATTAATTTACCCCAGTATTTATTTGTTTGCATGTTGGGTCTCAAAAAGTTATTATCTACAAAGTCACAAAAGCAGAGGAAGAAAACTTTGAGGGAAGTTGTGAGGCCTGTAGGAGTTGTATTTGGGCCGGTTATAAGTGCTGCAGCTTGTGATGACTCTGGCACAGTGCCATGTTGAATCTGCCTGAATAGAGACAGTCTAATGAGCACAGACACCACAGACATGCCCTGCCACAGTGTTGCCAGACGTACGATAATTATCGTATTTGTACAATAATTTTGACCTAATGTTGAATCTGCCTGAATAGAGACAGTCTAATGAGCACAGACACCACAGACATGCCCTGCCACAGTGTTGCCAGACAATAATTTTGACCTATGTACGATGTAAAAATCCCATAATGTACGATAATTACATAATTTTATTACAATTCAAATGATGGTAGTTGTAGTCATAGGGCTTCTATATTCATACACGAAATCGGCTCATTACAGACACTCCAAATGCGCTCGTGCACACCTCAGAGTGTGTTAAGAATGCAGGAGGGTGCCCTGCTTTAAAGCCAACGAGCACTATGTTGCGGTCCATGACGGCAAGAACCCCCTCAACATCTGGCAACACGCAGGCTTCCGATGACAGCGGCTCAGATGTGGAGTTAACAGCTGAAGTCTGTCTACACTGGACGCGACAATGTGAGTGTTAAAAATCATTTTGATACGTCATAAATAGAACGAGGCATCAGTTTACTGTCCGGGATGTGTCGTGTCGTGTCGCATCCAGTGCAAACAGTCACTGATTATAACGGTTTCTATAGTATTTTGTCACAGTGCTCGTGTCCAATGTAAACACAGTACACCTAGTTATCTATTGTGGTAATTTGCAGGTCGTGTCAAAAAGTTGTTGGTTTAGATAAATAGCTGTATTCTGTACGTTTGACTCGTGCACGATAATTTTCTTCCAAATACGATAATTTTGAGCTTCTGGTACGATACTCGGACATTTCCAATCTGGCAACACTGCCCTGCCAAAACAGCCACACATACTAGCACAGCTCCTCATTCAGCAGGATCACTGAACTGTGCCGTCTTTCTGAGAGATTGATCAGAAGCTATCTAAATACAGGACAAAGACGGAAGGGCAGAAGTCTGTGTTCTTTCTGGGCCTTAGATCGATTAACAAACACACCAGCACAATGGTACTTTCAGTTAAAATAAAAAGAGCATCCAAAAGTATCACCCAAAAATGAAGATTCTGTCATCATTTAGTCAGCCTCATGTTGTTCCAAACCTGTATGACAATCTGTTTTCTGCTGAACACAAAAGGAAGATATTTTGAAGAACATTGGAATTCAGTTTTGGTGACCACTCACTTTCATTTTATGGACAAAAAATTCTCAAAAATGTCAACAGCCATTACTCCAGTCTTCAGTGTCACATGATCCTTCAGAAATGCTGATTTGACATAAATGACTTGACATTTTTTCCACCAGTGAAAAATAAGGCGTTGCATCTGCTTTAAACAAATATTTAGGGATGCACCGATATGAAAATTCGATTCTTTGTAGCGAACGAGAAGAGCGACTCCCATCGGGGAGAGCCGAATCTTCAGCCGGAGCATTCTATTTTAGCCCAATTGAGCAATTGTGAATGGTTTGTGTGTTGGTAAGCAATATTTTATTCAGTGTTTTCATAAAAGTCTTATTTTTATGCATTTTTTCGTTACAAAAAAAAAATAAAAATACACATGTGGCTAATCACATAGGAGGGTAGAATAGGATCATACCATTATGTGAAAGGAAGGGGAACACACGCGCCGAAGATAGCGAGTGTAGTGGTAAAGGCCAGGTACACAAAGCGAGAAAGAGGCGGGGGATCCGGATTTAAATGCAAGCGCGTTGGTTAAGGTAATGGTAGGAAGACACTGCATTGTTGCAACATCGGTCCCCTCAGAGAGAGTCTTCTCAAAAACAGGACAAATAATCACAGAGAGGAGAAATCGCATCAGCACACCCAAGCTGAGGCATCTGATATTTCTGAATGCCAACCTGCACTAAAGACTAAAGTGTCTTAATGTTAAGACTTTTGCCTTTATTTATTTGATTTGTTTGCTGTAATCCCTCACCCATTGTTATATAACTGCCAGGCAAGCTGTCAGCTAGTGTGTCAGCCAGTAAGACACACGCAGAAGAAAAAATATATATATTAAAAAAAATATATTTTCAAATTCATGTTTGACATGTGACTATAATCTCAATATACAGTATATCAACATGCCTTCAAAGTGGTGAGATGTGGCTGTAACATATTCAATGCATTTAAGTGCATAATGATATCAATAGTATGTCCCCCATCATAAATGCATTAGGGTCATGAGTCTGAATTTGATGAAAAAGCTCTCTGTACTATTATGTTTCATTAAACAAGTGGGCATCCTGATTTATTAGAGCTAATGTGATAAACAGACTCCTAAATACACAACTCTAACTTTTAAGATTTTTAGCTTGGAATTAAAGCGTAATAAAGCTGCCAACCTCAGTCTGGGAACATCAAATGGCCATAAACATATCAACCCAGGAATCTAACGTGAGACTAGCAAAGACAGGAAACACAAAGGAAAAAATAAACCATATTCAGTCCTATGAGAGATAAAAGCCTGAAAATCATAACCAGGTGAGTCATCAAAATACCTGATAATCCCTCACCCATTGTTATATAACTGCCAGGCAAGCTGTCAGCTAGTGTGTCAGCCAGTAAGACACACGCAGAAGAAAAAATATATATATTAAAAAAAATATATTTTCAAATTCATGTTTGACATGTGACTATAATCTCAATATACAGTATATCAACATGCCTTCAAAGTGGTGAGATGTGGCTGTAACATATTCAATGCATTTAAGTGCATAATGATATCAATAGTATGTCCCCCATCATAAATGCATTAGGGTCATGAGTCTGAATTTGATGAAAAAGCTCTCTGTACTATTATGTTTCATTAAACAAGTGGGCATCCTGATTTATTAGAGCTAATGTGATAAACAGACTCCTAAATACACAACTCTAACTTTTAAGATTTTTAGCTTGGAATTAAAGCATAATAAAGCTGCCAACCCCAGTCTGGGAACATCAAATGGCCATAAACATATCAACCCAGGAATCTAACGTGAGACTAGCAAAGACAGGAAACACAAAGGAAAAAAGAAACCATATTCAGTCCTATGAGAGATAAAAGCCTCTTGTAAGAACGTAACATCAAGTTATACAGTTATTCAGAGGGAATATTTTATAGTTTACAACAAAGTGTTTCAAATCAAAGGAAGACATGTATTAAATAAATACAGATGCACACTGACACTCAAAATAGTGGTCAATTACCATCCTTTTGCACAATAATACAACCATCTAGAAGCACTATCTTTGCTAAAAAAATTTTTTTAAAGCATGCAGCTAGAATCTTGCATCTATGTTGTGACTATGTAAGATTTATCTATAAATAGAAAAAACATTGAAACTAAGAAAATTCTGCAAGTGTTGCAGAGTCTAACAATAACCAAACTGACCTGTGACCCCAATTTTTTTTTATTTTTATGATTTATATAAGTAGGTTTTATAGTTTACAACAAAGTGTTTCAAATCAAAGGAAGACATGTATTAAATAAATACAGATGCACACTGACACTCAAAATAGTGGTCAATTACCATCCTTTTGCACAATAATACAACCATCTAGAAGCACTATCTTTGCTAAAAAAAAATTTAAAAGCATGCAGCTAGAATCTTGCATCTATGTTGTGACTATGTAAGATTTATCTATAAATAGAAAAAACATTGAAACTAAGAAAATTCTGCAAGTGTTGCAGAGTCTAACAATCACCAAACTGACCTGTGACCCCAATTTTTTTTTATTTTTATGATTTATATAAGTAGGTTTTATTACACCAATGCATTAGCAAAACACAATTTCGGCAGCATGAATTCTTCACAAAGTAAAAATAGATTTTAAAACATGTAATCATTTTGATTTCTTTTCAAAATGCTATGTATAACATTATTTTATGCATAATATTTAATTAAAATATTCTTTTAAAGGGATCATGAACTGCCTTTTTTATTATTTTGTACTGTCCTCTGAGGTCCACTTATAATGCTATCAAGATTTTTACATCAAAAAACATCACAATTTAGAAGTAATAGGCTATTTTCTGTCCTGTTTTGACAGAACAAAGGACCAAGTTCTTACTGACGTGATCTGGAACTTCATTATAAATAAAGTTCATCCACTCTTTCCTAATGTTGAGATCAGAAGGAAGGCAATGCAAAGAAATACATTTTTTCTTGGCACTGCAAGCGTCTTCCTGTCTTCAGAGCCTTCTTTATCGTTTGGTTTCTCTTGTTATTTACACGACATACCTGAATCGGTGGGCGGGGCTAAACAGGCAGTGATGTAGAAGCTGGCTTTGATCTTCTTCTGCGGAGGCGGGGTTTAGCCACACTATTACATCATAATGTGGCAACAACTTCTCTAGAACCAGATGCAGACACTAAACAGTTTTCCGTACTAAATGAATATTGAGACAAGGCATTGACCAACCTGTAGAGAAGATTTCTGCAGCGACGGCCAAAAAGGCATCAGAGACTATAGTCTCAGAGGCAATTGTGATGTTGAGCTGTCTTGCTACGTTGCGGTACACATTGGGTCGCAGGTACTCCAGCTCGTCACCTAGGAGACAGAGAGATAAATGTGTTTTTAGTTTCCCTTGGCTCAAATGATCGGCTTTCTTCTCACAGGAAGAGACTGTCTAGAGTCTTATTGAATAAAACCACTAATTCAGAGAAGCTTGACACAATGACAATTACTGCAATCTAACCTGCTATTAATACCACTATTTATATACGTTCATCATTCTTTCATATCAGAAGCCAAATTGAGGGATGTAAACTTTCGTTCTGCTCTTACTGTATATTGCATGAATATACAATGATTATGAAATTGTCAGGAATAGTTCGGCCAAAAGGAAAATTTGCTGACCAGTGGATCTTCTGCAATGAATGGGTGCTGTCAGAATGAGAGAGAACAGCTGATAAAAGCATCACAATAAGTAAGCCACATGACTCTAGTCCAGGGGTGTCCAAACTCGGTCCTGGAGGGCCGGTGACCTGAAGAGTTTAGCTCCAACCCCAATTAAACACACCTGAACCAGCTAATCAAGCTCTTATAGGCATACTAGAAACTTAAAGCCAGGTGTGTTGAGGCAAGTTGGAGCTAAACTCTGCAGGACACCGGCCCTCCAGGACCGAGTTTGGGCAGCCCTGCTCTAGTCTATCAATTGACGTACTGTGAAGAAAAAAGCTTGTTTGTAGGAAACAAATCCATCATTAATGCATTTTTACTTTAAACCAAGCAATGTATTGCTAAATTTGTGAAAAAACAAACTCATCTACATCTTCGATGGCCTGAGGGTGAGTGAATTTTCATTTTTAGGTGAACTATTCCTTTAAATAAGTCTTTAGCTATGTGTTCAGTTATGTCTCACACACATGAATCATTTTAATTGATGAATAAATGAATCGTCTTAATGTCAGTGATTCAGGTGGGTGAGGTGCAGGGCTTGCAGGACAGTACAGGGTTAACCTAGTTAAATATGGGTGGGAAACCCTCAATCATTCTTGTGATAATGATCTGCATGTTTGCATGCTTTGTCCATAAAAAGCAGCTCCCCCCAGCTACACAGTTGTCTCAAAGCAAAATTCTTGTGCTTTTCTCTTTTAGGAGAAAACAGGTTCTTACAGAACAATGACAGACGAGAGTCACTCAGAAGACAGTCATGTGGGTGTATGTTAGGCCACTTGTAGTGTGTCTGATCAACAGATGATATTAGATGAAACGCTATCCATAGTCATTACATCCAATCTCGTGAAAGGGCTGAGAATGTCCAGCGGCATGAAAGGAAGAAAGAAAGGAATGTGGAAGATAGTTGAACGTGGTACAAAAGGCAAAGTACTTTTCAGTGGGTGAGACAAAGACAGACCTTATGTTGTAAAATATTATGCAATGGTATGGTTTGGCTTTGAGGAAGCTGAGAAGCACGTGTTTATTTTCATTTCTGAAAGTTCACAGAACATTCATGAATGCCCCATTTTTTTCATTTATTTTTGTATGAACCAGACGAGCATAATTGACAGGAAGTTCTGTGCACTTTTAGCTCTTAAAACAAATCCACAATATAACCTCCATATATCAACCCACAATTCAAATAGATACTGTAGATAGGTATACAGTACCTTAGTGTATGATATATATGTATGTTCACTTCACTACAGTACTTGTAACACCATGGCAAATCCCCATAATCATTAATCATGAATGTACACATGTGAAACTTCAAATGTCTTACCCAACCACAGAAGAACTGAAGACACCTCAGCCAGTGTTCCTCCAGATCCGTGCTCTGGTTTCGACCATCCGATTCCAGCCCGATGAAGTCTGGAGTGAATGTAATCCCTACATAAGACTTTAGACTGGGACACGAGCTCCTTATCCGTGGGAGAGCGATCAAACACCTCCATGACTTCAGCCGCAAACACCGAGGAGCGGCGCAACATCTCCATGCCCTTCATGAGTGGAGATCAATTACAAGCAGCTGACAACCTCCACCTTTATCGCCGTGTATGGAAGTGTTTCTTCTCCACCCTCTTCTGTTTCCAAAGTCTGATGGCGCCTTAAACGATCTGCATAAAGAAGAAAACTCGCGTGTTTTACTGCACCAGTAGAATAGTCTCGCTGTCACCTTCTGTTGGAATGAACGTGAACCTGATAAAGCGGTCAAAAGAGCAGAGAATCAATGATCAATTGCCTTTGCTGTTTCTCGCAAGTCATTTAAATGCGCAAAAAGTCTCGAATAGCGACATTTTTAATGACAGCAAATTATTCTCTCTACATATTTGTGAGGTGCGTGCAGTCTGTGAGGGTAAGATTAAACTGCTGTCAGGAGGCAGTGCTGTCTTCGCTTTGTTTGGATGGGCTGCACGCATGAAGTCTCCTTCTATGGAAAAGCTCTCCGTTAAGGCGGAGATAACCAGCTCTGTTATGGTTTGATGTCCGCCCTTCTAGAAGAGCTAGTGTTTAGAGAGCAGAAGATTTGATGAATCAAAGAACAAACGTAGAAAACAAACATAGACATATCTATCCATCCATCCGTACATCCATCCATCCATCTTTGTTGTAAGAATAAAATCAAATTAATTTTAATTAAATTATAAAATAACAGAAAAGCTACTGGCAGCTCATTGCCAGGACATTATCCATTAATTTTGTCTGTCTGTCTCTGTCTTTTATGCAAATAAAATCTGTCCAGCATAAAAATGTACAAGGGAATGGGTATTTTGGGTGTTGCAGTCTATTATATAAGTGTCTAAGTCTAAGTGTATCACAACACAGTGCAATGTAACATTTAAAATACCTGTAAAATAAAAAATAGAGTGTGTATCTTTCTAGTATTGTCACTCGTTTTAAGTATGGAAATTGCAAAAATTGCCAATCAATAATTTGATTTAAAAAAATGATGTACTACAATAGATGCTTTTTGCTTATTTTTTTAGTCAAATGAGCTTTTTGTCTGCCACAAACTCACTACATTGTCTTGTATCAAGAACAATTTTGTGTATAAAATGTTTGTAAAAGGTATGTTAATGTGCATAGTTGAACTAAAAAGGGTCATGTTACTCCAGTCCCCACCCACCATCATGGATAGAGTTGTTTTGCAAGTCTTCGTCTTGACTGTTTTTGCTTTAAGCATGTCAGTTAGAATTCATTAGAGCCACCCACCCAGCTGAAACATCGGCTTTCCCAAAGTTAAACCCCAAGATTTGTTTTGACATGTCTAGTAATTCCTTGTGAGCAGGAATATGCTACACATATCAAGTTTCCATTGTTGAATAACTGATTCAGTGATGGAGTACAATTTTACAAAAAGCTTATTCAAGCACAATACAGTGAACTTCCTTAAAAACGGACAGAAAAGAACAAAAAGTAGAACAAGATCAACCAGGCAGTTCTGTTCAGCATGGGAACAGTGAGTTGAAAGCTGGTTTATCTCAGTGGCACAAAATGATACAGTTCCTTTTTTTTCTGACCACATTTGAGGCTTCCTCTGTATCCCAATTTAAAAACTAAAATATTCTATCTGATTCTAAGGCCTATTAAAAATAGCTTGTGACAGTTTATCTTGTTAAAACACAACTGAATACAGACAGATGGGAGGCCAATGTTAGGCTACTGCTGCTGCAGTTTACACTTCATTCATTTCCAGTGAATGAGACACTGTAGAGACTAGTAATCCTCAGTAAATTGTAACACACCACACCTCTGAGGAATAATGCTTACGTTTTCTGCAGAACCCCTACATGCCTCTGCATGCCTATCACGACTTCTCATAGTTACATTCTTTCTTCATATCTGGCTTTTTATTATCAAAATAGAGATAGGATAACTGGTCATCATAGATAAAAATAAAATCTTGTAAGTTTACAAATCAACAATTATTTTGAACCCTGAAATAAATTGTAATAAATGTATCTTGGCTTTGGACAACATCTTTGTACAATACTGCTCCCTACAGGGAAAAAGAGGAAGTTACTAAATCATTTCCTTAGTAGCCTACCACAAAATGATTTCCTTAGTAGACCATATAGGTGCACCATATACACAATATATACAGGAACATCCATAACTCATTGTGATCTGGAAATAAATGACTTCAAACGGTTGTGGACTAAAAATAAAACAGGAAAACACAGACACAGAATCAGAAAAATATTCCACCAATGTAATATTGCTGTGAGGTGAAAATGCCTCCTATTTGACAGGAAAATAGGATTAAAAAGCATTTCTGTCAGAATAAAATAATAACTTATAAATAAATATATAGCCACAAAGACTAATTTAGGCTTTAGGTTAGAAAATGTGCCCTTAGAAAAACATCTAAAACTATAATTACCTTGAACTCACTATAAGCACCAACAGAAAACTTCATTAAGGCTCCAAAACAAACCATGAAGGGTATGAAGGGCATTTTGAATATTAAAAATGTTTCAAAAATTGCATCCTACTCAGAATCTGATTTAAAAGGTCCGTGATGTCTACCCTACAAAGGCATTTTGCCAATTAGGTATACAATTTATTTGATCAACATTAAAAGAAAAACAAGTGTGAAAAGTGATATGAAGATATTATACAAAATATATATAAAAAAGAAAGAAAAATATTTAAGATGACCAAAACTAAACAGGATATTGGAATGCTAACTGTCCCTAGATAGAGAAGAAAATTTGACTAGCTGCATGAAATGGTTTTACCATGATAAAAGGATAACCACTGTGACATAAACCCCAGACTGAAATTAACCTGCACTTTGCACATATGTTGCACAAGAAATCTTCATGTACACAATTAGGCTACAGGATGCTGAAAATAACACAAATGCCCTCATAATTAGAAATATGACGGTGTCCTGACATTTTATCCTACCGGTCAGATTGTCCTCAGGGTTTGGCACATGTCTACTCACAAAGTAGTAAAAACCTGAAATCACGTATAGGCTACATTGCAGTTGTTTCTCAATTGAATGAAAGAAATTAAATAGCCTAATTGCTTTAATTGAAGTTTTGTGAGAGTGAGGTTTAGCGGAATATGTAGATTTAGGGCAAAGAAAACAGCTATGATTTGCTCAAAACAGGACTTTAAAATACTAAGACCTACTAAGTATGGTCTTAGTATTTTAAGACCCACTAAGACCTAATACTAAGTATGTTTGTCATATTAATAAACCAACGTAATATAAGTGTGTAACTGTCCATCTATTGTATGATAAATAGGAAATGTTTAAGCGTAAGTAAACAAATGTTAAAGCTAAAGATTTACAAATTATACTCACGTACTTAAATTGTATATCTCTAAAAAAAAAATTGTTGCACAACCTCTATAAACACAGCCAAGTTTGCAAAGTAAAAACTACGATTCCCAGCAGTCTTTGGGCTTTGAAGGAGATTATCGCGCATGCGCTGAACACAATGCCTCTCTCTTAGTCAAAGTAGCGGGGTATAGAGGGAGTCTCATGTACAGAGCATAAACCGTAAACATCCATACCAAAGACTGAGTGTCTGCTCTTATGAATGGACAGAATTACATATTAAAATCATTGTAAACTAGCGCTGGCCAGTCTGATACACCGGAATGATTTAGAGAGGCGTGGATTGGGAACAAGCTGTTCCTTTGATAAGTGGTGACTGTCCAAGAAGGAGAGAAAGAGGGAAAAATCTGAGAAGCCCCGAACTGGAGGTAGATTAAGCGGGACATGGCCCACCTTCAGAACATTCGGAACCAGGTAATCCAGAGAGATGAAGATGACACCTGAAGCCCCCCAGGCATTGCTTTCATACTGAGACATAACCGTTACTAAACGTTACAGCGTCTTTGTATAATAGTAAGCTTTTGTAATTATAAACTATTCCACTAAATAATATAATATAATGAGTACACGTACACTGGAAAAAAATGTGGGATTTACATAATTTTCACTGGGAAATTACTTGCAAATTGTACAGACAATTACAAAGAAACGGCAAGTAACACATTAAACGTGAGATTTTACAGTATTTTCTTGTATTTACTAATGCTTATATGATGTTCCTCTTGGAAAAAATACCAGGTAAATGAACAAAATACAGTCTCTTTCTTTCATAATTTTTGGCACACATCACAACTAGGGGTGCACTGAAATTGAAATTGTGGGTATTATCATAATCTATCTATTAGTGTTGTCAAGCGATTAATCGCATCCAAAATAAACGTTTCTGTTTACATAATATATGTGTGTATATTTATTATGTATATATATATATAAAAATGTATATATATATATATAAAAAAAAAAAAACACATGCATGTATATATTTAAGAAAAATATGTTATGTTTATATATTAAATAAAATTATTTATAATATAAAATATAAGAATATAAATATGTAAATGTATATACATGTAAATATTTTCTAAATATATACTGTATGTGTGTTTATTTATATATACATAATAAAAATACACAGTACACATCGTTTGACAGCACTATCTGTCTATCTATCTATCTATCTATCTATCTATCTGTTTGAAAACCGATATGATGGCCACTATGATTTATGAAAAGTACTCAAACTACAGCTCCAATCTAGAATTTTGATTTTGAAACAGACAGTACCCTTTAAAAATGGAACTTTGGGCTGTCTAATTACAACAATTTTAATTTTTATAACCATTAACTAATCACTAAAAATTTAACTAATAATGGTAGCTACTAATAATAGCCATTTTTTTTAGCTGTCCCCCACATTTTGCACAACCCTGCTACCACACTATATTTCCTGTAACACCCATGAAATCAGATCATTTGGACCCTCTAAAGCATGGTGGGAGCATGGATAAGATTTTCTCAATATTTGCACTAATTAAAGTATAGACTGCATGAGTCCAGCTTAGCCTTTCAGCCCTGTTACCCCAGTTATTGTAAGAAAAACAATTATCAAACAGATCCTTTCATTTATGCCAAATATTATCACCAACTAGAACACCAAAATATTGTCCCAAACTAGCTAGATCCAGCTAGAAACATCATAATTTAGGCTAAAATTTGCATTAATTTTTTTAAATGTCCAAAAGCCCATGGAAAATGAACATAAAATGTCTGATGGTCAACATTTATATTGTGCATCCTTGTTTGCAACTGTTATATTGTATTGAGAATCTTCACATCACACTTTTTGACACCACCATAACAGAGAAAAACAGAGGAACTCCCAGTGTACTACTGTTATGTTAAATATGAGACAGTGTAGTTATTTTGTATCGATACATGCGCACGTTTTGTAGGTCAGTATGATAATTGCAGTGTGTCATGTTTTGATGTGGGTTGAACCTCGGAGTATCTTTGACGAAAGGTGCAGCTGGCCTGTTTCTGAGAAGTGTTAAAAATATCCTGTTGATCTCATTTTATAGAGAATCCAATGGGTGGTACTACTAAGAATAGTAAAGGTTTGTGTTTTGATTGCTCAGTGTTTTAAAAAAGGTGCAATAAAAGTGTGATTAATGCGGAAATCAGACGTTTAGCTGATACCAAGAGGAGGTCTTATCTCCTGAACTTTGAGT